CCGTCAATAATGTTCGTGTTGAGTTGCGGACGTTATAGTCAAACTGATGTGCAACCGAAAAAATCTGCAATCTCATCTCCAAGTCCTCTTTCGTATCATAACGTTGCCCGATAGCTAGGTCTACTGACCGCATTTCCAACTTCACAAATTCAGGAATCGATGAAAAACTTCTTTTCTTATGTGGTAGATTTTCCAGATTTTCCCTCTCTTCCTCGTCATTTGTAAATCTACCACACCTATCGTATTCATCATTTTCTGAACTTGCACCGTATGGATCTTCGCAGTAGTCAAATCTACAATCATCTTCCTCATCCTCTTCAACATGTTCCTCACATGCTTTTGTTGCGTTTTTCTCATCTGCGCCGATTCCATCACCTTTTTTGGATTTGTTTCTTCAATCTCCATGCACAGTCGAATTGGGTCTATCTTAAATTGCTGCAAAAACCCACTCAATTGTCTTGAATTCCTAACAAACACTGGTGGTGTATCTAGAGATAATTTTGCCAAATACTTCTTTGCCCACATGTAACTCAACTTTACCTCAACAAACCGTTGATCCAGGCCGAAATCGTTGTACACCATAGCAAAGAATTCTTCATACGAGGTTGCATGATCTGCCCCTATAACTCTACACCTTTTTGACTTATCAACAAAGAAGATCCATCGATTTTTTGGAAAACTCCAACTACCACATACCAAAATTATTTGTTCCATTGCAAATCAACCAAATATCGAGTTTAAGAAGTAAAGGTTGAGGTAAGAATTTTATATTCAAGAGAGGAGGTTCGTCAAAATGAAGAAAACAAGCTATGGCGGCGGCTACCCTAGTTCTTCACCGTTCAAGGTTCGTCTGGGGGCAAAACAGAGATTTCGCGTACTCATTAAACAAGTCTACCACCTACCACAAACAAGTCTACCATGCCGAATCCAAACAAATCTACCATGCTGCTTATTTTTAAATCTACTATTACGCTTATCCGAATCTAAACAAGTCTATCGTCATTCAAAATTAAGAAACAAGTATATCGTAACTCAATATAGCCAAACAAGTCTACCATCATTATCGAAAAAGCAACAAATCTACCAAAGATTGGTAGATTTGTTGTAGTAAAGACCTGAAAATATTGAATAAATCTACCAAGGAAAGTAACAAGTCTACTACATAATATTAATCTACCGCCACTATAAATACGTCTACCATCGCTAACAGTCGATAAGTCTACCGATCAACAAATATAAATCTACAAAAGAGAGTAATAAGTCTACTATATCATATAAATCTACTGTCACTATAAACAATTTTACCATCACGACGATCAATAAGTCTACCGTTCACAAAATTAAGTCTACCGTTCACAAAATTAAATCTACCATACCCGAATTTAAATCTACCATGAAGGCATTTAAATCTACCACCAGTAATTAATCTACCATCACATAGAAATAAATCTACCACGCAACAATAAGTCTACGGAGATAAATCTACCAATCGACTACTAAGTCTACCATTCAAAAACAAATCTACCATTGATGGTAATAACTCTACCACTCTAAAACATCTCTACCACTGCCTAAAAATAAGTCTACCGAGATAAATCTACCACTCAACAATAAGTCTACCATTCAAAAACAAATCTACCAACCTAAATAAATCTACCAACCACTAAATAAATCTACCATCACGTGACCGGTAGACTTAYTCGCTTTTGGCGGGAAACTTATTAGTGACAGTTTTGTAAATACGTTTTTTGTTATCAAAGGAAATAAGAGCAAAACATGTTTTAAAAATATTTCAAAATTATTTGAATAATTATGAAAGATTAGCATCAAAATTGTCAAAAAACCATTTATTAAGATTATTTTAATAAATCTCCCTTTTTAGACACATCAAGATCATGTATGCTTGTTCGTGGATAAAATGCTGATTTTATTTATAACGAAATCTAGAGTTACAATGCATTGGCGTCAAATCTTTTTTTACAATTGCAATGTTGGAAATAGAGGTGGACATTTTGGTTTTCAGCTATATATACAGTAGATTGATATATATGTGTCTTGATTCGATATTTTGATCGGGTTTGTTCTTGAACCAAATTTGTGGTAGGATTGGTTTACATAAAACTCAAAAAATTCAATCCAACTGTCAATTCTTTACAAACTTAATAATGTAACCTAAACAAAACTGGTTGATGCCGTTTAATGTTGTTTCTTGAACTTGTAAATCCACTTGAAAATGTAATGTATATATCATATCACTACAAAAAAAGGTAGATTGTATCATTTATTTTATTAGTTTACATAACTTTTCGATTAACACACCTAAAATTACATCATTTCTATGAATAATTCCGAAAATGGTAACTCTAATATTTTGTATCAATAAAAAAGACCGACACAAATATTCTCACCATTTGTTATAACTAATGTTAATATGTATCGTTTATAAAAAATAAAGTTAAACCTTACATCAATTTGTATACATGATGTTAAATATTTGTTTCGGTTATAACAATTGATGTTGAATATTTATATCATTTAGTTAGTTGATTTCATAATTACATCAGTTATAAATAAGTAATGCTAAAATTTATTTCAGTTTTCATAAATGATTGTAAGAGTTGTATCATTTATCAATAAATGTTGCTAATATTTGTAAGGTTCACTTAATTGATTATTTCACATCAGTTGTAAATAAAATTAAA